AGCTCATAGGACCCTGTGCATGCCGGAACGTGACATTGTCTGCTCACAGTTGTGTGTTCAGCTCATAGGACCCTGTGCATGCCGGAACGTGACATAGTTGTTCTGTTTGAGCCCACTGCTACTGCCTCTGTCAGTCCATGTCTTTGGGGGTCTTCCTCTTTTTTACCGACCATCCACTTTTCCAAGCATGATATCCCTTCTCCAGAGACTGGTCCTTCCTGATCATTTTGGATAAACCGGACGGACTGAATGTCTGATTTTCTTAGCAGTGGGAGAGGGTAAACCAGATGAAAGAGTTGGAATTTGAATCTTGCTCTAGAATGGTTTGGTTCTCGTTGTTGAAGAGCAGCTTCCATCGAGCTGTAATTGGAAGTCGGCCCTTGAGAGCAGAATGCTGGAAGTATTGTTGAGGTGGTTATGTGCCGTTGATGCGGGTCCCACTCATTGCGGCCCTGGGTAGGGTTTCTGGGGAGTGGTGGGTGGGTTATCAGGCCAGTGCTTACCCTGCAGGACCACCCCAGGATTCCACGGACAGAAAGGAGACTAGTAGCCTGACGTCCTGTGAGTCTGTTCAGACAGTGTAGGGAAGGAGCCCCCCATGTGCCCACAGAGCCCCCAGTGCTGAAGGTGCCGGGAAGACACTAGGGCCTCGGAGTTCCTGGTTAGCTCCGCCCCTGGAGCAGTCTCTGCCCAGAAGCAGGAGACCGTAGACTTGAAGACTGCAGTGGGCATTTCTCGTTCCCTGTAGGTATCATGTAGCGCACCTCCGCTTGCCCATCAGTAAACCTCATGAAGAAGAAAGGGTGTCTGCTGAGAGCGATGGGAGTCCTCCTTTAAAATCTCCGAACATACAACATGAAAACCACACAATGCGACGGTCCTGTGCCTTTCTGACTCAGTCACAGAGCCAGGCAGTGTGGCGTGGCCAGTTGTACTGACTGAGAGGGGAACTGCTGCTGTCTGGTCTCTCCTAAGGTGTCTCACTCCCAGAGGTCATGATGGTCACCAGCAGCATTCTAAAAGATCCAGATTGGAGACTTGGGGGCTCTGGCATCGGCTTTAGAACTCAGCAGCCCATGCTGTCTGAGGAGTTCGAGCCCAGTGCAGACTCCAGGTGTACTTGCACCTTAGTACTGGCGCCTGGAAGGTGGGCGCTCTTCTCACATGAGGGTGTTGTCCAGGCGCTGCTTTCCCAGGTCCCTCAGGGTTCAGTTGGAAGCAGTCGGTGAAAGTCTCCCAGAGGATGCTTCTGTGGAGGAGGAGGAGGGGTCCACGTACACTGGTGGACTGTACAGTGTCTACCAGGAGCTGTGCATTTTCCTGCTGTGTGTCTCTGCTCGGAGGGCCCTCATGCTCGGTGCCCAGATGGCCCTGTCCACAGAAACTCTGTCCTCCCTGCTCTGCTGACCCTCCTGGCTTGTTCCCTCATGTGGCCCAGGGTCTCCTACCCGACTTGTCAGCTCTGTGTGGGAAGGCAAGATAAGAGGCTGTGGCTGGACAAGATTGTCACCTTTGGTCGTGGATTTGGTGCTGGACGTGGGCTTGGTGTCCAGCAGAGTTCATTGCTAGGCACACGAGTTCATTGACAGATGTGGATTCCGTTTGGGGCTGCAGGTTCGGTGCTGGGACTGAGAGTGGATTTGAATGGACTCTGTCCACACAGGTGGCTGCCATCCCTAACCCTTTCCCCGTTCAGAATGGAAGCTGTGGAGAATTCTTTCTGGGTGTTCCCATGCCTCAGCCCGTGGGTACTCTCCTGTGCGTCTCCTCAGCTGTACAGACAGAATTTCACCAGCCTCAGAGAAGAGAGTTTTGAGCAGCTGCCTTCCCCTCACGCCCCCCTTCCCCCGGAAGTGGAAGCCTGACCCAGCCTGAGTGTAAGGACAGTGCTGTTTGCCTTGTCCGTCCCCTAATGGGAGCTGTGTCTCCCTCCGGGCAGGGAGAACTTGCTGGCCGACTGTCTGCAGGGCTGCTTCGTGGTCACCTGCACACTGTGCGCCTTCATCAGCCTGGTGTGGCTGCGTGAGCAGATTGTCCATGGAGGGGCTCCCATCTGGCTGGAGCACGCCGCCCCAGTCTTCAATGCTGCAGGGCCCCACCCACATGAGGTGAGCACCCACCTCCCTGGCTCCCGCTTCCTCTTACTCCTCCCTCATGGGTCACTAGACAGTGGGGTGGTGTGGGAGAGGCATCTTCCCAAGATGATGGAACCTCACACAGGCAGAGTTAGCTTCATGATGAGCGGTTATGAGCAGCCAATCAGCTGAAGGGATGCTTCCTCCTCGAAGGTGTGGCCTGCTCCCAGTGGACTGCCAGCCGGGAAAGGCTGTCTCTGTTCTGCTAGGGGCCTGGAGCACTACAGTTGTAAGCCATTTCCTGGATCATAAACTCTCTATGTGTGCATATATTAAAAAAGAAAGAAACATGGAGATTCAAAGACGGCTTGGGGGCTCTGTGTCTGGACTTTCTCGAGAGACTAGCCTCTGACAGGTCAGTTTCTTCCTGTGTAAAACCGCTCTGTCCCCACTCCAAGCTGAAGACAAGGGGCCCTTTTGACACCACCTGGTGTAGTTTTGTCATCTCAAATTGGTCAACACAGCTGGGTCCCGCATGGCACTCCTCTTTGAAAGTCCACACGCTCAGCATGGGTCTATAGGGAGGCTGCCCTTCCATGCCTCCGTCCTGGCCTCAGTGCTGGTGGCCTGTGGCCCAAGGCGCTGGATGCAGGGCCTCAGTGGGCAGGAGGGGAGAGGCGGCGCAGACCCTGTGTGCACCCCATCTGCTTAGTGGGGACAGGAGAGGGGGTCTAGTTCTAGCTGTATTCACAAAGGCTCATCGAAGCACAAACTCCAGATAGTCCGCTTTGCAGACCCATTTTCTGTGGTGCTTGGGACCTGATCGTCTCAAGCTCTCCACTCGGAAACCCGTCTGTTCTTAGAGACCCACGGTGAATGTGCTCGCTCAGAAAGGGGCTCTGTAGAAAGTTGAGTGGGGTTTTTGTTTGTTTTGTTGTGTTTTCAGAGGTAGGGTGCCATTTGGCAAAACAGAGACCATCTCCCTAAATTTCTAAGTCCTTCTGCCATTCCAGGTGCCTGCAGGAGGGAATGGAGCTGAGAACGCTGCCCCGGACCAGCCTGCCAACCCACCGGCTGAGAACGCGGTGGTGGGTGAGAACCCGGAGGCTCAGGATGACCAGGTAGAGGAGGAGGAGGACAACGAAGAGGACGACGCCGGCGTGGAGGACGCCGCCGATGCCAACAACGGGGCCCCGGGTGAGGCTGCTACCCGCCTGTGCCAACCATGGGGCCTGGGTGAGGCTGCTGCCCATCAGTGCCAACCACAGGGCCCGGGTGAGGTTTCTGCCCGCCTATGCCAACCACGGGGCCCGGGTGAGGCTGCTGCCTGCCTGTGCCAACCACGGGGCCCGGGTGAGGCTGCTGCCCGCCTGTGCCAACCACGGGGCCCGGGTGAGGCTGCTGCCCGCCGATGCCAACCACGGGGCCCGGGTGAGGTTGCTGCCCGCCGATGCCAACCATGGGGCCCGAGTGAGGTTGCTGCCCGCCGATGCCAACCACGGGGCTCTGGTGAGGCTGCTGCCTGCTGGCTTGCTCCTGCAGAACCAGGACCCACACCCCCAATCATGTTGGTTTCGAAGTTCCGTTTCAAGCCAGTGTTTCCTCTTATTTGGAAGCTTTGCATTTAGGACCATGCCTGTGTATAGGTGTGTGTGGTTTCCTTGAGGCTGGGTAAGCCCTGTTGTATACAGACCTTTTTAATAGGACCGGTTGGGAGACATCCCTTGGGAGTTGGAATCGATCCCACTTTGTCTGGGAACAGAAGGAAACTGGCTATCTCCCTCTTCTGCTTCTCCCGTTTCATTTCCCCTGACTTGTCTGGGAAGCATTTTGGAAGTATCCCAGTGACGTAACTCCAGCACTGGGCTCTGGCCTTGAATGGACCACTGGTGTTGGCAGCTGTGAGCAAGACCCTGAGTCTCCTTCACGAGGCTGCCGCAGCACTGCTAGGAGAGTGGTTCACTGAGGAAGCAAACTGTCCCCACTACGCCTCCTGGTCCCTCCCCCTCACACCAGCAGGCTCTTCCCGCCCTTCATGGAACTCTGCTCACAGACGGCCAGCGCTTTTCCACCTGTGGCCCCCCGTCACCTGCTTCCTAGCACTTTCCCAACCTAAACTCGATGTGTTCTTAAGTGTCATTGAGGTGGTTCTGACCCATAACAACCCTGTACAGGGTTTCCAAGGAGTGGCTGGTGAGCTTGAACCACCGACCTTGTGGTTCAAACTGACTTTGCAGTCCAGCACATTAGCCTGCAGTACATAGTCACCTGCTTTCCTGCTTATTTCCTCAGTAACAAATAGTATGAAAAATCAAACATGGTTCAGCTTCTCAACGGCGGTTTACAGAGTATGAGGTCTCTTATTGTTTGTAGCTCACGCCCACCCATAACCCATAACTGCCCTGTGCTTGCAGACGACATGAACTGGAACGCCCTGGAGTGGGACCGGGCTGCCGAGGAGCTCACGTGGGAGAGGGTGAGTCAGGGCTGTGGGTTCCCTGTGGGCTTACATCGTGTGTGCGGCCCTCACTGCTAGGGACGCTTCAGTGGCATGCTGTGTGTGGGGACTGTGGGCAGGATAGCGTCGTGGCCTGGTCTTACGCCATCTGGGGCTATGTCTGCAGAGCCAGACTCCCGCCTACTGTTACTGGTATCTGGATACTTGAGTTCACAGAGAACAGTGCAATTCTGTCCTGAACTGACTAGCCCCTTAGGTGATTTCAGAATTAAACCCTAGGTGTAGGTGGTTTTTTTAGGCTTTCTAACCCTAGGCTGTAGACCAGCGGAGAGCCAGGTATCAGAGCCCCCTAGGACTCTCTTTGTCTTGGAGACGCTGGGCACTGCTGGGCAGTGAGGCAGCATGGAGGGGAGCAGCAGCCTTCGTCAGGTAGGAGAGAGAATCCCGCTGCCTCTTGACTGAATGCGTGTTGCTGTCCGTCCTTTCTAGATGCTGGGACTCGATGGCTCACTGGTCTTCCTCGTAAGTGACTGCCTTCTGTGACCTGTGTGCTCGCTGATTCCGTCACTCCAGGTGTACAGTGTCTGCTGCCTTTAATAGTAAAAGTCTAAATGCTCTTTGACTAGTGTTGTGAGACGTTGAAGAAAACATTTTCTGTATTGAAAACCTTGGAAATGCATAGAGCTAAGCCTGTTTACAAAGCAAGTCACTGGTAAGCATTTGCCTTGTTTAAAGGACAGGAGAGTGCAAAGTCAAAGCAGAGAAGGGCAGCAGCGGTCATCCCCAACCTGATCAAAACCCGTGGCTTTGTATCACACCCACCGTGCCAGGTGCCCCACTGCTTCCTGGGAAACCCCACCACATAGTGGAGCAGCAGTACTCTGGGAGAGGGGCACAAGAGCCAGGCTGGAATGTTCCAGAAGGAGGCGACCGAAAGGTCAGGACCTCTGTGGGTCCAGGCAGGAGTGCGCAGCTGGACCAGTGACATCAAGGGCCTCAGGGCAGGAATCCCAGTGGGACTGACGGGCACACTGGTGTTGACCGGAACGTGCTTTCAATATTCTGGTGCCTTCACACTTTTCTCCGACTTGGAGACTTGCCCAGTCTCATTGACTGAAGTGAAATCTGGCTGGGATTTCTGAAAGACTCTAAGTTCTGGTGTGGCGCTTTGGGATAAAACACTGAGCCTCAAGGTCACTTTGAACCACAAGGTTCAAGTTCACCATCTGCTCTTCAGAAACCCTGTACAGGGTCTGTATGAGTGGAAACTGTCTCAAAGGCATTTAACAGCAACCATTTCTAAAACGGAAGTATTTATGAATTGATTTATGTGATTCCCCCCCCCCCCCATGTTTAACTATGAGTTTGATTAAGTGTAGTTTTATGAAAGAGCTTTGGAAAAGCTGCATATCCTTTCTAGACTGAAATCTCAAAACCCTACAAAGGAGAGCATGTCAGTCATATAGTAAGAGCAGTCGAGCAGTCCCTGTCAGCATGAGCACGTCCAGAGTCCCGCATCTCCTGAGCCGATGCTCTTTCCCTGCAGGAGCATGTCTTCTGGGTGGTGTCTCTGAACACGCTGTTCATTCTGGTCTTTGGTAAGTGGTCGTTATGCTATCCTTTTGGGAGGAATTCCATTTTCTAGGAGCCCTGTTAGAGGTTTTGGCTTGTTTCGTTTTGAACATAGGAGTATTAATTCAGGAAGAGGTGTTTACACTCCAAAGCTTGGCTGCACTTCCCCTTGGACATTTGCTCCTATATTTTGGTAGGAGTTGGTTTTACATTGACTAGAAATAATAGAATATAAATCTCCAGAATACATTTGTGCTGGGTATGTGTGTGCCATAGGAAACTTGTCAGAAAATCTTGTTTCAACCTGTTCATGGCATGGAAGCTGTTACCAGAAGAGATGGACGCGGCTGACAGGGCTGACAGCCAGTCAGCTTTCCGGCCACATGAGCTGCTTAGAGCCAGATTCCAGAATATGCAACATGCTGACGTCCTGACAGTGTGGGGCCGTCACTCTGA